ATTTGCACTTCAACAGGGGACTCTGAAAGATAGAACTGCCTTTAAAAAAGGACTGGATCTCTTGGAGTAGAATTTAAGACATTTGATTAGGGCAAGAGGTAAAGGTTTGGAGCTTACAGACTTTGTTGAAGGTGCTCAAATGAATAACATAACATTTACTAATATGAATCAACCTGAGATTAGCCCAGCACTTAAAAAATATGTGTACATGAAAAGAATATGGTAGTGAAGTCTTCTTAAGACAGTATTTCACAAAGTCTATGTTTATTTCCAGATCTTTAAGGTAAAATTCTGGCAATGACAAGAAACGCCACAGTTGTACAAGGTCCAAAGGTGCTGAAATGATAACATAAGATTTACTAATGTGAATCAACAGGGTCTTGCTGTGTCACCCAGCCTGGAATGCAGTGGCGCCATGATGGCTCACTGCAGCCTCTACCTCCTGGGCTCAATTGATTTTCCCACCTAAGCCTCCCAATTAGCTGAGAGTACAGACCCACGCCACCACACGTGGCTAATTTTTGTATATTTTTTTTGTAGAGACAGGGGTCTTTCTATGTTGCCCAGGCTGGTCTCAAACTCCTAGGCTCAGGCAAGCCTCTCACCTCGGCCTCCTGAAGTGCCGAGTTTACAGGCCTCAGTGAGGCACCATGCCTGGCCTAGAAGCAACATTTCTTATTGCTTCTGAACATACAAATCAAAGACACAAAGGGTGATATAATTTAAAAATAATTTTGGTCTAATACAATTTAGATATGATTGTTCCCAATATTTATAACTTTGTTCCCTCTGTCAAATAATTTCATTTTTGGGAAAAGAGAAGAGTGAAACACTGTAGAATTTGTAGCTGAACTTCAGATAGATTAGTGCAGTGTTCATTTTCATGCCTCCAGGCCACCTGAAAAATCTTAAATAAAAGTTAAAGGCATTTACTTATTTTTTTCAAATCAATGGAAACATTCACGTTAAAGAGGTTTTATACAAGTCAGCTTCACTTTAAAAATGCTTCCAAGGGCAAATCGATGATATAAGTGTCCTTATGTTCTGTTTTACTCCTAGAGTATATTTATACTTTTGAATTATAATGGGCAAATCTGTATACCAGAGGATTTTAGTGTTTGAAATTTATTTCACTTTGTTCATACAAACTCAATTATTCCAAAAATAAGAATTCTGGTGTGAGTCACTTTTACAGAGTTGGGGCTTTGCTGCATGTGAATTTCTGGAAGCTCAAAATAAAGTCTCTTTAGGAGAAATATGCAAATTTGTTTTACTCAGCATGATATTTGACACATACGGAAATACATACACATACACTTATATGCAACTTCACTACACATACACTTATATACAACAAAAATCCACGAAATCACCTATCTCCATCATTTTATCAAAGGCAACCACTCTCCTAAATTTTTGTGTTTAATCATTCCCTTGCTTTTTTCTTTAAACAGCTTCGTTGAGATATAATCCACACCTATACCATACACTCATTTAAAGAATACAGTTCAACTTTTTTTAAAGAACATTCAGAGTTGTGCAACCATCACCACAATCAATTTTAGCACATTTTACCACTAAAAAAGGAAACACTGTACCCACCAACAGTTACTAACTTTCTTCTCCAACTCTCAACTCCCCCTCCCCATTTTTTAAATATAACTTTTAACTGCAGATGCACAACACATATGCCTTTATTACTATATATTTGGCTTTGATTTCAAATATAATACAATTTTTTCATACTTTACTTTTTTTTTCATTCAACATGATGTTTCTAAAATTCATCCTTGGTCTTGTACATAGCTAGAGTTAATTCGTTTTCATAACAGCATATTTTTAGTGTCTGAATAAACCCACGATTTGTCCATATCCTTAATTTGTTTGGTTTATTTTTTTTTTTGTTACAATAGTTCTGTTCTGAATAACTGTGTACATGTCTCCAGGTATACACATGCAAAAGTTCCTCTAGCATAACTTCGCACTGTAATTTGTGGCTGCCAAGTTCAACTTTTCCAAACAATGCAAAATTTCATTGCAAAGTAGTTATAATAATTCATAGTCTCATAGGTGAGTGGCAGATTCTTCTACTCTTGTCAACATTTAGTGTTGTCAGGTTTTAAAATTTTTGCTGTTCTACTGAATGAAAAATGATATCTCATTGTGTTTTAATTAGTGTTTCTCTGACTGTGAATGATATTAAGAGCCCTTTTCATAGGTTCATTTGCCTGCCTTGTTTCCTCCTAAAATACCTGTTCATATCTTTTCCCATTGGGTTTCTTGTCTTATTGATTAACAACACTTCTTTTTTTCTTTTTTTTTTTTTTTTTGAGATAGGGTTTCACCACCATGTTGGCCAGGACGCCAGGATGGTCTCGATCTCCTGATCTTGTGATCCACCTGCCTCGGCCTCCCAAAGTGCTGGGATTACAGGCGTGAGCCACCGCGCCTGGCCAACAACACTGCTTTATATATACTGGATACCAGTCAATATTTGGTTATGTGTGTGGCAAACACCTCCTACTAGTTTCTAGTTTATATTTGTGTGGTCCTGTGGTGCACCTCTCTCAAGTTATCATTTACTTGTAAGCATTTAAAAATATCAGTTATGATGTTTTTGACTTATGCATTACTTAAAGTCTTTTAAAAATGCCTATATGAACTAAAAAAACTCACATAACTTATTTCTAATTATTCATTTCATTTTTTTTTTTTTTTTGGGACAGAGTCTTGCTCTGTCACCAGGCGCCAGGCAGTGGCGTGATCTTGGCTTACTGCAACCTCTGCTTCCCAGGTTCAAGCAATTCTCCTGCCTCAGCCTCCCGAGTTGCTGGGACCACAGGTGCGTGCCACCACACCCATCTAATTTTTGTATTTTTTAGTGGAGACGGGGTTTCACCATGGTCTCGATCTCTTGACCTTATGATCCGCCCACCTCGGCCTCCCAAAGTGTTGGGATTACAGGCGTGAGTCACTGCACCCAGCCTAATTATTCATTTCTAACTGGATTACATTATGGTTAAAATCTGAAACTTGTTGGTGCTTGCTTTATGGATTCTGCATGAACAATTTTTTTGTAATGTTCCATAAGAGTCCTTGAGAGGACTGTATATTCTCTAATTGTTGGGTACAGCATCCTGTTTACATCTTTTAGGTCAAGCATGTTGACTGTGATTTTAAATTTTACATATTTATCACTCTTTTGTCAGCTTGAGCTACCAATTACTGGAGAGATATATATTGAAATGTTCCGCTATAATGATGGATTTGTTACTTTTAATCTGTAATTTTACCACTTTATTGTTTTGTACATTTTGAGTCCCTATTTGGTGCATGCACTATTTCGAATTTTTACTTGTTTCTCTTGAGAAGAGCCTTTACCATGGTAACACATTTTGTTTGAAAAAATGTGTGCTTCTTAAGGTCATTTTTTTCCTGAATTAATATATTTAACCCTGTTTTCACTGGTTCATTGTGATCTTACTTATTTTTTCTTTTACTTTCAACTTTATCAACTTTCATCCATTTACTTTAGATCTTGCTGTGTACTCATTTTAAAACTTTATTTTGTGACTAGCATATAGCTGGATGTTTTCCCACCCAATCTGACTATCTGTATCCCTTGGCTGGACAATTGAAATTATTTTCATTTATTTTGATTAGTAATCCATTAAAATTTGTGTTTCTTACATTACTTGGTAGTTTTCTGTATCCTGACTTTTCTGTTTGTTTCTGTTTGTACAAATTTGAATTTGTTTATTTTCTTATTCTATCTTTCCTTCCACTTATTTGAACTGTCTATTTTTGTAGCGGATACACTTGAAATACTACTATGTATTTGGACCACAACTACTATTTGGACTTACCAAAGTCCAAAGTTAGTCTTATCCAGATGTCTTTCCAAACCATACACAAACTTAAAATATTTGCTATTCTGAGAACCAGTCTCCAAAATACCTTTTATTTTTGTTCATTATTTTAGTCTTTAATCTATTCACAACAGACGTTAGCAACATCATAATTGTATGAAATGTTTGTTTAAATTTGCATACATGTTTTCCAGTTTAGTTTTTCTCATTTTCTCCTTCTGTATTGGGCAGCTTTCTTATTTTCTGAAATTCATACAAGTTTCATTAGTGAAAGTCTGCTGATTAGACTATATCAGGGTTTGCTTATTGAAACATGTCCTTATTTCATCCTCATTCTTAAAGGATATTTTGCTGAATATCCTGTTTTAGGTTGATGGTTGTATCCGTTAGCATTCGGATGGCATTCTTTCACTATCTTCCAGCTTTCACTACTCTTTTTGAGAATCTTGCTTCTCATTTTAATTGTTTTTCTGTGAGTGATTTGCATTTTTCCTCTACGTGCCTTATAATCCTTTATTTTGTCATTGGTATTCTGCTGTTTGACTACAATATGCCTAGGTGTAGATATGGTTTTATCTATGGTGTTTGATAGGAGTTTTGCATCCTCTTTCTGATGATTATTGCCCTTCATCAGTCATGGAATATCTTCAATCATTATCTTAACATTTTTTTTGTTTTGTTTTTTAGATACAGAGTTTTACTCTTGTTGCCTAGGCTGGAGTGCAATGACGCAATTTTGGTTCACTGCAACCTCTGCCTCGTGAGTTCAAGCAATTCTCCTGCCCCAGCCTCTCAAGTAGCTGGGATTACAGGCACCCACCACCACAGCTGGCTAATTTTTGTATTTTTAGTAGAGATGGGGTTTCACCATGTTGATCAGGCTGGTCTCGAATTCCTGACCTCAGGTGATCCACCTGCCTTGGTCTCCCAAAGTGCTGAGATTACGTGTGATCTACCACACCCAGCCTACCATTAAATACTGCCTCTCCTCCATTCTTTCTCTTCTTTTCTCTAAAAATTCAATTAACTAATTCTTCGTCTTCCCACTAAGTCTTTTCTATGCTTTCTATTCTCTGCACTACATTGAGTAACTTCTTTTTCTTTCTCTATATATTTTCTTAAAAAATAAGTCTAGTTCTGTGGTGGAAGCGGTGGGGGAGTTGGAGGCATCCCGAAGGGCGGCATGCCCGCCACCCCCATGCCCATCATGGTGACAAAGTTAGAAGGGTCCATGGGAGGCCCAGGAGGAGGGGGCGGGGCATACATTATGCATGTGGAACCAGGTGGTGGAGGCGGCAGAGGGGGAGTGACCTCAGGCGGCAGAGGCGGCTGGACCCTGGGGGGCAGGGGCACCATGTTGGGGTTGCCTTGCATCTGAGGGGCTCCTGGAGAAGCTGTGGCAGCCGCCTGTTGCTGTTGCCATGGTGGGATGGACCCTGTGCCAGCGCTTGTGGTGGTAGTCGTGGTATTTTGCTGCCATGGAAAGGGGGCACTGGAAGCCATACTGCTGCTGGGCGGAGGGAGTGGCGGAGGCTGCTGCTGCTGCTGCTGCTACTGTTGCCGTGGAGGAAGAGGACCAGAGGGAGGGGGCGGGGGCTGCCCACTAGGAGGCGGCAGCAGCGGTGGCATCATACCTTTTCCTTGATGCAGGCGATACACCCCAGAGCCCACAGGCATACTTCCCATGTACTGATCCATTGGAGGAGGGCCATGGTGCCCAGGTGGGTGGGGGCCCTGGTTCATCGGAAGTGGTGGTGGCTGCATCCAAGGGGGTGGGGGTCCATTGGGGTTATGTTGCATGGGATGTCCGCCATGCCCACCTGTCAGGCTGGGTAACCGGTGTGGGAAGCTGCAGGGGCCACCTCCGGGCCCACCAGGACCACCTCCATGCATGCCGTGGTAAGGCCGACTCTCTGAAGGGCCAGAATTCATCCAGGGTGGGCGGTTCTGGGTGGTGGACATGAGAGATGGTGGAGGTGGGTTGTTGGTGGGAGCAGCAGGATGAAGTGTGCTGGCCAGGGGTGTGATGGCAGGCCCAGAGGTGGAGCTCATAGATAATGGGACAGGCGCTTCACCCAGTTCAGCCATGAGGGACAAATATTCTTTATCCATCCTGAGCTGATTGGGGATCACCAGGCCTTTGGAATCTGCAGTCGGAAGCGATGTGGCCAGCCCCTCCACACTTTGTACACACTGTGGTGTTGGTAATGCTGCAGGTCTCTGAAATCTGCCAGGGTCTTAAGATCCTGTTGTCGTCTTCCTGAAGGGTCCCATTCAAGCAAGCCAACTCCTGAAGCTGCATCTTCCGTAGATTATTCTGGTCTTCTGGGGTCTGGATACCCTGCTTCCAGATGTTTCTTATCTGTTCCATTGCCTTTTTGATGTTCTCCATTGTATTGGCGGTGACCAGAGCATGAAGTGGCTCATCTTCTCCCGGCAACATCTGGCCATCTTTGCGCCCAACCCTCCCTTCTTTCACAGATCCTTTCCCCCGGATCATAATCTGGGCACTGCACTCCTTCTCTATGTTCTTTAGGGTGCTCCCTCTGGGCCCAATGAGCAGCCCCACAAAGTTGATTTCTGGGTACTCATCTTGTGGAATCATGACTTTATCAGTCACACGTGTTGCTGGAGGTTTGTAATCTGCAGGTGGGTTAAAATCCGGGTTGAGTGCAACCATCTCAGTGATGAGGTTGTGTCGCTCCTCTTGCAGCTTTTGGCGGGTGCGGACCTCTCGGGTGTTAAGCTGCTTCCCCTCGCTACTGCAGATGGGCTCAGGGGAAGGGGACCTGTCCTCAGGGTTAGGAGGGATGCCCGGGTCTCCCGTGCGCAGTTTACGAGTCAGGTCTTCTATCTGCAGTTGCACTAGGTAAGCTCCTTCTTGTTCTCGAGTAAGTCCACGGGGATTAACTGTAGGCATTACAGGAGTCACCGTCTCCCGTTCCAGCGGCTCCTCTTCCGCTTCTTCCTTGGGAAGTCCAGCGGCGTGGCGTTCGCTCCGGTCGCCATGGCACCCCCGGCGACCCGCACCGGCGGCTGCTTTTCCTCGGCAACCGCTTCTCCTTCGCAAGCCTCCCGGGGGCAGGCGCCCCCACTGCGCCGCCGCTGCGCGCGGAGCGGGTCCTCTCGGGCGGAGGGCCGCGGCGCGAGACGCACCGAGAGAAAGCAGAGAGGGCGCCACGGGGGCGGGCGGAGGGCGGGGGGCCGGGGCCTGGATTGGGCCGCGCTGAGGCGAAGAGTCGAAATCGGCGGCCTCCGATTGGCGGAGCCTCTGTCCTGGATGCGCGCTGGGATTGGCCGAACCGTTAGGCCTGGCGGGGAAATGGCGGCGGAGTCCGTTGGCCTGGGAGGTGTAGCAGCGCGCGCTTCGTTTGTTCGTGAGTAACTTTTCATTATCTGTTACACCATTACCTATTTTTTTCTTCAGCTGTGTATAGTTGACTGTCCAATACTTCGAGATTTAAATTTAAATGCTTGCACTTTTTTTATTTTTAAAAGTCGGTTTGATTTTTATTTAAATCTTTCTGGTAACTTTATAAGGTCTTCTGTTGCTTGATAAATAAAAAGTTGTTTTTGAAAAATTATATATTTTTAAGAAATATGTCATACTTCTTTTATATTCTCTATTTTAGAATTATTCCAGTAGTAAAATCATCAAGACCCTAACTTTATGGATTTTTGTTTCTGCTAAATTGGCTTATAGCTGGTTATTTTCTTGTGTGGTTGGTAGTTTATTTCCTTGTGTTGCTGTTGTGAGCTCCTATTTTGTTCAACTTAATCTCTAAGAATTATGTGAGACTAAACTGGCAATACTTTCTTTCAGAGATAATTTGTGTTTCCTTCTTGGAGCTGGGAATGGGGTGCTTCTAACCTGAGATCTCTTTAGCTTTTTTGGAGGATTCATACTAATGCATATTGCCCAGATTCGGCTCCCTCAACTTAAAGCAGTGACAACATTTAGCCACCCAAGTCCTGTGCTCCTGTTGAAATTTACTCTAAGATAACTCCAAATTTGGTGATATTGTTCACCTATCTGGCTTCAGTTTCAGCTTGCTACTTACTCCTTTTTTATTCCTTTTTATCTCTTTAAATTTTTTTTTTTTTTTTTTACTTTTTTATATTCCCCTCACTACATTAAAAAACTGTTGTTGTTGTAGTTTACCCAGGACCAGTGTGTCCCTAGTCCTGTGTATTACCAAGATCTGATATCCCAGACCTTTTTCACTTACAGCAGTAAACATCTCTCAGGGGCTTTATTCTCACATATGCTGTTTCAGCGCTTACCATGTGCCAAGCTCTGTACTGGATGCTGTAGAGAATAATGTTCTTGTACTTGAGAGCTTGGAATCTGATGGGAAAAATGGACATGTGCGCCAGAAATGATTCTATAAGGCAGCCTGAGATGTATGCTGAAACGGCCACAACCACTAAGCATGGCAAAGGCTAAGGAGGGAGGACTTCGCACTCCCTGGGGAAAGCTGAGACTGTGAGGCGCAAGCTCATGCATTGAATGTAAGCTTCCATTTCATAGCAGTCCAAGGGTGTACTGCTGGGCAGAAGTTAAATCAAGTCTCTTTTATGTTAAGAGCAACTGGTGTGAAGGGCATAAGCTTACTGCAGAAATCTGAGGAAACATTCCAGACAGCCCATGCTGTTCTCCTAGTCACAAACCTCCACTTGTACTAGGAAATTATTTAGAAGGTGCATGGCTGAGTAAAGATGGTATTCCAAATATTTCCCAGGAAGAAATAGCCAATGCTTACACTGCTATTAAAGACAACGTCTAAAGTGACTACTGTTTGTCTACTGGTGTTTTCTATTATAACCTTATTTTAAGAGGGCTGTAATTTGACTGTAAAAATTCCCCCTGGGTGAAAACTTGGCATACCAGAGTGCTCCCTTTCAATAATGCTTGCTTTTTAAAAAAAAAACAAAAAACAAAACAAAACAAAAAAACAACAGATTTGTTTTACAGTAGCCAACGTCTTTCAAAGTCAAAAAAAGACCACAAAGCTCTTAGTGTTGGAGGGAATTGATTCTTTCTATGGATGTTTGCATTCTGTCCTGCATGGAAGATAAAAAATAAATAAAACAAGAATCAAACCTATTTGTCTTCTTAATGTACAAAACAAATGCCCAATTTTAGATAACAGTCTTCATGCAGTGTGCCCAAAATTACAATAACAAAGCTATATAATGTCTACTAAAGGAAAGAGTGTTTTGTAATTTTATTTTTTAAGTAACAGATGCAGTTGTAAGACACCAGCTAGCTATGTAAGTTCCAGTAGACGGAACTTACATAGAAGCAGACAGCAGTTTTGCTATTTCTACTGAGTCAGATGAGCTCTACCAAGAAAGTGAATACTATTGTAAAACCTCCAGTGATAATAAAAAAATTCAATATATTTAATACTATGCATCATGTGCTTTGCTTTAAAGAACAAAAGAAAACAGTGAGGGATGGAGAAGATATTCTACTCAGTGGGCATCATATAAGGCATAAAGCACTTGAAATAGGAAGCTGAAGCTGTTATGTTTTTTTGGTAGCCTCAGTTCCCACGTGCTTCTTTTCTTGAAGTGCTGAATGCAATTCCAGTGACTAAAGATACACGATCTGAGTATGAGTAGGTACCACAACAGAGACAAAGCCATCTGGTCTACAGCCGAAGGAAGTGCAGGCTCTACTCTATTTCGAGTGAGCTGGCATGTGTATCTACAAAATGGTGCCTTTCTAAGAATTGTTAAGGTTAAGTTTTCTTATGTACAATTAAGTTTTAACTCATTTATCAGTTTTAGAATCTAACTGCGGAGTAAGATGTGACTTTGTGTTCTATGTTAACAGAAACCATAGTAGGAAACATGTGTGTTCTTACCCTTTAAAGTTATAGAGATGAGAAGGAAATTATAAAAATAGATTTATAGAAATAGGGATTAGTGGTTGCTGTTGCCAGGGGTTAAGGAGGGCAGGTAGAAAGGGCAGTGGATGTGGCTATGGAAAGTCAACATGAGGGATTTTTGTAGTATTGGAAATATTTTGTATCTTGCCTGCATCAGTGTCAATATTTTGGTTGTGATACTGTGCTGTAGTTTCTAAAGATATTACCACTTGGGAGAAAGGTGTACAGAATTCCTCTATATGATTTTTTTTACAACTTAATGTGTATCTATAATTATATGAAAATAAAAAGTTTAATTGAAAATAATATCAGGTTTAGTTTAATAATACATATGATAAAAAGCGAGACCAGTAACAACATGGAATCTAATAGAAGAGGGATCAGTAAGTTATGGTCTACAGGCCAAATCTGGCTCAGTGCTTGTTTTTATAAATAACCTTTTACTGGAACACTGCTATCTTACTAAATTATCTATTGTCTGTGGATGCTGCTGTGCTGTAACAGCAAGATCAAATTGTTGCATTGGAGACGGTATGATCCACGAAGCCTAAAATATTTACTCTCTTGCTCTTTACTAAATATATTTGCTGATATAGAATATAAACTAGGCTCGGCTGAGTGGCTCACGCCTGTAATTCTAGCATTTTGGGAGGTTGAGGTGGGTGGGTTGCTAGAGTCCAGAAGTTTGAGACTAGCTTGGACAAAATAGGGAGACCCCGTCTCTGTGAAAAATAAACAAATAAGCTGGGCATGGTAGTGTGTGCCTGTAGTTCCAGCTACTTGGGAAGCTGAGGCAGGAGGATCACTTGAATCCAAGAGGCTAAGGCTACAGTGAGTCATGATCACATCACTGTTCCCCAGCCTGGGCAATAGGGCAAGACCCTGTCTTAAAAAAAAAAAAAAGAAAAGAAAAGAATATAAACTCTACCAGGGAAAGTACCTTGTCAGCTTTATTTATCACTGTTTCTTAGCACATTACCTAGCATTAGGTAGCAGGTAATGTGGGAATATAAAGGAAGCAGCATACTAAGGAAATTTGGGTGTGCTAAGAAGAGGTTGAGTGAAAGAATGTAAAAACATCATCTTGGGATGCTGACTGTACATTTTCTAAAGGCCATGGCAATGAAACGCAATGCCAACTGCCTTTTATAGACCGATAGAAGAAGAGGATTGTAGGTCTCACATAAGTCCACAGGATTCACATGAGACCAATGAAATGAAAAGAATTTGTAAAGGCATGAATTAACTGTGCAGAGGGTATAATGTAATTCTAATTAGTCATTAGTCAGGCATCTTACTTCCTTTTAGGTGTATAGCATGGAGCAACAGTTCAGTCTTTGAGATACGCTTATGGTTAAGTCACTAAAACTGATTAATTTGATCAGAAGATTTCTACCTGTTTCAGGGGAATGCACCTATTATCTCATTGCACTGGCACACTCCTCTCATTTTGTTCAAGAGAAGAATTATTAAAAACAGGAGTGAAAAAAATCCAAACTTTTAAGTTGACATTTGGAATTTTGATTATACCAATGAAGATTTCAATTTAAATGGACTCTGGCAAATATTCTGTATGGTGAAAATATTTTTTGATAATATCAAGAATAAACTTCAAATTGTTTGCTAAACTTTGACTTCCTCCAAGGCAGGAATCACATTATCATACTGTCGTCTCAAGAATAGTTTCCAGGAAATACAGTTGGTGCTGAGAAGATGAGAAGAGGAAAAATAATGAAAGCAGAGTCTGGAGCCAGACAACACTGGATTTGAATCTCTGGGCCTGGAACAATTTAATTTTCCTTGCTGGGGCTCATCTGGAATGAAGCAAATGATTCCTGTCTCATAAGGTTGTTCTGAGGATTAAATCAGGGTGGAGAGTGCTTGGGCTATGGAATATACTCATAGACACTCAGCAAATGTCAGTTCCCTTTCCTTGGACTAAAAGACAAAGGAAATATGGATAAGAGAAAGGAGCATCTTCCAGCATCTGCAGTCAGCAGAAAGGAATGCCTTGCCTGCGGGACGCTATCTCCTAGCTGTTTCCCCGGGAAGGAGTAGAACTCTCATTTGTGTTGTGCCTGTGGCATTGTTGTGCAGTGTATCTAAATGATTG